GTTGATCTGTGAAACAGAAAAGAGCCTGTGTGATTACATGACCTGACCAAGACTGGAGATCGATTGATCACGTGACCCGGAAAATCTCACCTACATCCTGTATCTGTTCGAAGCTCAGGAGCCAACATATGAGTTACCTTATGATGAAGCTCAAGAATTGATAAATACAACTTACTTGGATAAATTTAATAATAATAAATCAATATCTATAGAAGCTGATGATAGTAATAAGTTTTCTAAATGTACAAGGTAATAGATTAATTATATCAAAAAAATTAGCTATAAGATTATATTATATACTAACTTATAGTATTATTTGCAGATTGTTTGTGTGGAACTATTTTGTAAAGGAAAAAAATAATATATAGTTATTGGATGCAAAGCATCCAATAACTGGAGTTATTTGGCATTGTGTAATAATTATATTGTGATCTGCATGATCACAATATTATTGTTACACATGACAAATAACGGAAAGTATCTGTAGCAAGAATTTAATCAGGAGATGTCTGGGCCCTGTAGGGGCCCAGACCTCGACTGGTCAAATTCTGGCTACAGATACGACAGTTATTGGTGCGTAGCATCCAATAATGATATTATCTGTCAAATTATGACGATCAGACATAACATAAAGCGAATAGAATTGTTAATAAAAAAAGAAAAAGGTAATTAATAAATTGTATCTATATTTTATTCAATTCAATTTTATGTACTAACTATAATGAAAATTTGTATGAATTAGACCACATGGACAAGCGACAGTTAAGTAGTATAATTTATTTATCATTATGATATATTTAAAATTTTTTTTTAATTATTTAATTTATAGCGACAAAAATTTAGATGACATAATGACGTAGTTTATTCTGTATATAAACATTTAACTGATCCAAGATCGATCATACTTCTCTCTCCTTCCAATTGCTTAATAATAAACATGGATATGACAAAAAATAAATACTATAAACCTACCAGTGCTGAAATCGACGAAATAATCAATGGTACAGTTCCAGAGAATACTCAAAAGGCAACGGCGAAATGGGTAAGGATTTTAGAAAATTGGCAGCACGATATAGGATATAAATATGGAATTGAAACAGTTACAAATAAGAACCAGCTTGAACAAGAGATGACCGAGTTCATTCTGGGAATTTGACAAGTCAACAAAAATAAAGAATATGCGCCATCATCTTTAATCAACTGTATTAAATTACTCAGTATTTATATTCTAAAGTATTCAAATGGTACCAAGTCTTTTAACATATCCAATAGGAAATAATTTCCTTATTTATGGGAAGCACTAAATGGAAAAATGAAAAAACTCAAAAAAGAAGGTTTAGTGTTACGTTACCACGACTATCTTACAGATACTAAGTTACAAAACATATTTCAACATTATACGGTTGCTAATAATACCCCACAAGACTTACAGTATCGAGTCTTCATGTGGTGCTGTTTGCTGTTTCAACCTCGCGGCGGTGAACATTACAACATGAAGATAGAACAGTTTGAATTTTCTTCTAATGGTGGAATTCATTTCAAAAAGTATTCCCAAAAAAATGACCAAGTTGGTGTGGATAGTAATTCGGATGTGCTTATTATACCTGTTCCACCTGATCCCAAAGGTTCTCAAGGCCCTGTCTACGATATTAAGCTTTACCTTTCAAAGAGACCATTGAATTCTAAATGTCTATTTCTACATTTAAAAATTAACAAAAAAATTAATAGTAAGTATTAATTGACTTTTTAATTTATTATGTGATTTTATGTACATTTATGCCTGTGAAATCATAAAAATTAAATATTAAATTAATTTTTATTGAATTACTTATTTTAGATTATTCGAAAGATCTATAGTATCTCGATAAAAGATTAGGAGAGAAGTCTTGTGGATCTTTTATGAAAAACATTTGTACTACAGTAGGAATCGACATAAAAGACTGTGATATTGTCAATCACTCAGGCCGATCAACCCCAATTACTTCCCTTTTTCAGAAGGGTGTCGCAATGAGTACTACCATGTCTATTACTAGGCATAAAAGCGAATCATCTTATCAAATTTATGCTCGCCCCTCTAACAAACAAAAGGAAGATGCTTTATCATTGTTAATTGATAGTGTCGGGACATTGCTTTCTGATTTACAAGAATCAGAAGCTTTAGCCAAGGTTAGTAATTTGAATTTAAATATATACATTTTAAAATTTTATTAATGTTAAATTACTTGTAGAATGACGAAGAAGAAATTATTATGGATTTGAAACGAGTACACTTTGAAATTTATTGTAATATAGTGATAAATATGATATTAATATTTATTTTATTTTTTTTTTAGCCCAAGATTTCCTCCTTTAAAGCGGCATCTGGACTTAATCCTAATCTAACTAAGCCATTTCAACAATCTTTGTGCAAAACTACTAAAATGAATTTGCTATTACATATCAATGCTATGAAGCAAAATTCCACAATTGGTGGACGTCAGAATATTTATAAAGCTTCTCATGAAGATGAGGAAGAAAATTATTCTGAGGATACTTCTGGTGTACTGATTGTTAAAAACTACTATATAACTGCAACACATGTTAATATCAATTAAATGTATATCAATATTACCATAGTAGTTATATTTTTATTAAGAAATGTTGTAATTAGTCAATAGTGATAGTAATAGAATTGTAAAGCATAAAAAAATAAATTGAATGCATTGAATTAAAAGTACATTGATGAGCTGATAAATGCTTTTGCTGAATAACCAAATAAGCTATCATTTTTTGCCGAAATAACCAAAATAAGCTATAGATTTTTGCCAAATAACTAATTTAAACTTTTTTCTGCCAAATAACTTGAGTTATTTGGTAGTCCGATCATAGTAATCTGACGGATAAAGATGAATTATTAGTTGCAGTGTGTAAATTTTGTAATACAAATTTAAAAATTCATAAGGATGGATCAACATCAAGTTTTAGGAAGCATCTTAACACTAAGCACAGAAATAAAGTACCAAAGCTGAAAAAGTCAAATAATAATAATAATAATAATAATAAAGTACAAACTTTTTCTGTTTTAGATATGTTATATAACAAAGCTGTAAGTTTTTTTTCAATTTATATTGTATTTTTTTAAAACCATTATTCTATAATATATATATGATTATTAGAATGAAAATTATAATCCTAAACTCTTTGATCCTAAAAAATTCACTGACCTTGTTAAAAAGTGTGTTATTAAGCATAATCAGTCATTTCATATAGTTGAAGATGACGGTCTTAGAGCAATATTTACATATTTAGATCATCGTACAAAAGGTATAATATAGCATATGTTGAATATTATATAAATAGATTATTTTTTTACTGATTGCAATTTTATTAAAAGTATTTAAAAAAAAGTTTTTTATAGCACCATTATTAAACTTAATCGCAAGACATATCACAAGCAATTTTGAAGAGAAACGTGTTTAGCTTTGAAATAAGTTGTATGATATTCCTGGGCATATATCGTTAACAACAGATATCTGGACAACTGACAATAATAATAAATCATTTATGTCAGTTACAATTCATTATATAAGTAAATTATGGTCAATAAAAAATTTATTACTTGATTTTATCTATATAGATGAGTAGTACACAGGTGCTGATATTGCTAAAGCTATAGAAGAATGTCTTCAATCTATAGAGATTGTTTCAAAAGTAATAGCAATTACATGTGATAATGCATATGCTAACGACAAATTTTTGCAAGACCTTTTCAATTCTCTTTTTCAAACTAGTACCTTATTTGATGCTATACAATAATCAGTGCGGTGTTTCACTCATATATTAAATTTGGCAGTACAAAGTATATTTAAAAATGCAGGAAGTGAATTAGAAAAGGTAATTAATTAGTCTTTGTTTATTTGTATGTTTATAAAAATAAAAAATCTTACTTATTATTGTATATATTTAACTACGTATATTGATAAAAAGCATTTGAGAATCAAAAATGCACAAAAAAAATATGAAAATGATGTGCCAAATACATGGTATAAATTTGTTAAAACCAATACTTGATGTTTTCATGCACTAGAACTCTACCTATTAAATGTGTAAGCATGCAATAATATTGCAAATTGCTTTGGATATTATCTCTTATACTGAATCTGACTTATGACAATATGCATTTTCTAAAGCAGATTGGTAAAAAATCAAACTTCTTGTTGAATTTTATTACTATTTAAAGATGGTTAGTATTATTTTAATTTAATTTTCTAAAAATTAGATTACTTATAATTTAATTTAATACTTAGCAATAGTTGAAATATCAAAGCAAAAGTATCCAATGCTGTCAATAGCTATTTTTCTTTATTATATATTAATTGAAACACTTCAAGAAGCTACTAAGAATAAAGATATGCCACAGTGGCTTGTTGAAGGATGTGAGGCCACAATAGCAAAACTCTTAGATTATTGCAAAAAAACAAATGTATTAGGTATTGCAGCAGTAATCTTAGATCCATGACTTAAACTTGAGTATTTTGAAACACTTAAATAGCCGTTATATCTTATTATCCAAATTTAGGATATGTATGTTAATTTACAAATTATACTGTATAATAATTAAATAAAATATTTATACAAATTAATTTTATTTAGCATAATTGATAAATATGAAGCTGAATATGCACCTCTTCAAGACACAACTCACATGATTAATGAATCTCAGAAACAAATATACTGGCACAAATTTATAAAAAACTACATCTTGGACAACAAAGTGAATTAGAATTATATTTGCTTGTACTATCTGTTGATCCAAACACCAATATTTTAAAATGGTGGAGAACAAATGAATCAAGTTACCCTAATCTTGAAAAATTTGCTCGAGATTCACTTTCTATTCTAGCAACAAGTGTTCCAAGTGAACAAGTCTTTAGTATTAGCAGCGATATAGTAATTGATAAGAGAAATCGACTGTCTAGTAAAACTATACAAATAGACAAATAGTGATGTGTTTGAGATCCTGGTGGAGAGAATTAGATAATTAAGATCTAGATAAAAAAAATTAGATAATTAAATAATAAATTTTTTCTAAGTCTAATAAGGAAAAATTTGTAAATTTGCTGGGTAACTAATTAGAAAAATTGTGCTTGAGATATGGATTGTATTATGGCAGCACCCCAAAAGGTGGCATGAGATACGAACACAATGGCGGCAGACAATATGTACTAATTGGGAAGAAATTACCG